TAATTCCTGGATGAACATTTTTAAAAATATCATTAATCATAATGTTAAAAAGTATGGGACTGATCACACTTCCCTGTGGTGTTCCGTTTTCTATATTCACAATTTGTGAAACTTCACTACCCACTTGGACTTGAATTGTTCTATCAAATAAAAAACTCAATACCCAATTAAACATTCTTCCTTCTATTCCAATTGTTTTCATTTTAATTAATAATCCCTCTTTCCAGAGCATATCATATGCTTTTTCCATATCAAAATAAATTGCTACCAATCCCTCTTTAACTGCTATAGCTTTTTTTACTTCTGTTTCCAATTTAACTAATGCATCTAATGTTGACCTTCCTTTTCTGAAACCGTATTGATATGGTGCTAAAATTTCTTTAATGTCAAATATATAATTAAGCCTATTTACAATCATTTTCTCCATTAGTTTGCACAGGTTTGATGTAAGAGCAATTGGTCTGTAATTCTCTGCTTTTGAAGCATCTTTCCCTGGTTTAGCTATGGGTATTATTATAGCATGCTTCCAAGACCTTGGTAATCTCCCTTCTGTCCAAATTTTATTATACAAGTCCAATACAAGTTTTAGTATTTTATCATTTACTTGCTTAAGCATAATGTAGTAAATTCCATCTCGTCCAGGTGCTGTATGTTTAATCTTATTCATAACTTGCTTAAGTTCCCACATTTTAAACTCCTCATCTAATGCTCCCACTCCTTTTTGTCTTTTATTATAAATGTCTTCATGTTGAGTCAAAATTTCTGTTCTTTTCTTTCTATAATTCTCACTGAGGTTTTCTTTACTATGAGCTTTCTGAAAGGTATTAACTAGTAACTCTGCCTTCTCCTTTTCTGTAATAGCCGTTTTCCCTTCTCCTGATATTACTGGTATATTTCTAGTTTTATAAACTCCAATCATCTTTTTTAACATATTCCATACTTCTTCTAATTGTGTTTCCTTTCCAATAGATGCACAATACTCCCTCCAATATTTCTTTTTTGCTTGTTTAATTGTTCTTCTTGCCTTTGCTCTCTCCCTTTGATATTCTATTACAGCTTCTGGTGTCAAAGTTCTTTTCAACATTCTAAATGCTTTATTTCTACTTTTTATTGAGTTTTTACATTCGTTATTCCACCAAGGCACAATCTTCTTTTTACTATTCCCATTAGTTTTTGGTATACATTCTTCTGCAGTTGTGATTAAAATTGAACTTAATTCCTCTGTACGTTTGTCAATGTCATCTTCTTTAGTAAAGTTCTTTACTTTTTCTTCACATATTTGATTATATTTTCCCCAATCAGCTTTCTCAAATTTCCATCTATTTTGTTTTATCAATATACTCCTTTGCATTTCTAATCCTATTGTACATATAATTGGAAAATGGTCACTTCCTACTGTTGACTGCTCTATTACCTCCCATTGGCATTTAACAGATATTGCAGCTGACACTATTGTTAAATCTAAACATGATTTTACTTGTTTTCTAATATTAAATCTTGTTCCCCTACCATCGTTTAAGCATACTAGTGAATTATCTTCCATATAATCTTCCACCACCATTCCATTTGTGTCTGTGTTCATACTACCCCACACCACACTATGTGCATTAAAATCCCCACACCATATTCCTATACCTTCATCTTTTCTCCAAATTTTATTCAGCTCCATTAAGGATATTTGCTTACATGGATTGTAAAAATTTATTATTGATACTTTCCCTAGTGCTGTCCACACTTCAACTTTAACACATTCATATTGTGAATCTATACTTATTTCCCTATAAGCCACCCCATTTTTTATAAATGTTGCACACCCACCACCTGAAGTTCCTGCTCTGTCTTTTCTAATAGATATATACCCTGGAATGACAAAATCCAATCGCGATTTAAGCCATGTTTCCTGAATACATATTAAATCAGGCACATTTGTCATTTCATGTATAACTTTCTTAAATTCTTGACCATTCGCGATTAGACTCCTGGCATTCCATTGTATTACCCTGAATGTCATTTTATTTTATTAGCCTTTGCTTGTCTGGGGGTTCTTGAGGGTTTGAGTTACTCTCAGGTTGCCCTAGTAGAGACTGAATTCCCTCCATTGACACTTCTGTTATTCCAAGATGACGAGTTGCCGCAGATATTATGATTTTTAGTTTCTCTGTTCTTTTGTTAGTTTGAGCTGTACAGTTGATTACTTCTGCAATGAATGCTATAAAATTTACCTTGCTGACCATGAGTAAATCTGCATCCTGATTTGTTTTGAGAGTTTCTATTGATTTATTCGATCTTTCATTTGCATTCATAACTTGATAGCTCTTCGTGTTTCTTTGTTCATCTTGAACTTTTTTTACAGCTTGAGCATATGACATATTATACTCTGTTTTGTATTTCATTGCCTCCACAGCTTGTTTTTGAGCATTACATCCTAAATACGCTGCACTATGAGGACCTCCACAGTTACAGCACTTAGGTTCTACTAGTTCCCCACATTCACCATATTTGTGTTCACCTCCACATTTACAACATCTTTGCTTTCCCTTACATACTTCTGCAACATGACCCAGTCTTTGGCAGTTGAAACACCTTAATGCAGGTTTAATGAATGTTCTTACTGGATAACAAACATATCCCATTTTTACATTATCTGGCAGTTGCTTCCCATTCATGATTATCATCACTGTTGTACTTGGCTCTCTTTTCCCACTTCTATTTGTTGTTAACCTTTTCACTTCTATTACCTTTTCACTTAATAACTGATTTCTTAATGTTTCGTCTGATAAAGACAGCGGAACCCCAGTTATCACTCCTTTAATGCCACTAACCTCTCCTGGTACATGGCATTTAACTCCGACTCCTCCAATCTCTTTCATTTTAATCAGCATTTCTTGTTGTTTTTTGTTCAGACAAAATACAAGAACTCGGTTGTTTGATAAATATCTGGCTGAATTTATTTCCCCAATAGCTTTTTTGAGCATTTTTGTTAATCTCATGGGATTATTCATCTCACCTATGCTTGAGAACATCATGATAACTTTATACTCATCCTCCATCCTCATTGTTTTGCTTCTTCCTTCTACTCCTCCTGTTGCTACCTCCTCAGAATCTGAACTTCTGTTCTTGCGCTTCTGAGATCTCTGTTCAACCTGAGACCAATCATCTTCCATATCTAGGTTGGTTGAATCATCCTCATCGTCTAAATTTCCTCCTTCACTCTCTTCATTCACACCACAGCTGTCGCTAAACCCGCTTCGGCATCTTTCCTTCGCCATTTTTCGACCGTAGCCCTGACGTAAGCACCCGTAGAGCGCTCTTGCACCACGTCGTCGCGTGTCCCCATCATGCAGAAGTCTTGTTCATAAGGAAGTATTCGTTTCTGTGAGGCTGTGTGGCGACACCTGCTGGACTGGAGAAAGAGTGGATTTTTAATATTAACTTTTTTATTGAATAGAAGATAACCGGTAAATAAAACGTCACAACATTTAAGAGAAAACATAGTTACAATATATATATATATATATAGCAATGTGTCAATCGATGTTCATCATAATCTTTAAGAAGCATGTTATTTTTATTCATTCATTCATTTATTTTCTTGTCGGCTTAGTCCCTTTATTAATCCGGGGTCGCCACAGCGGTAAGAACCGCCAACTTATCCGCCAAGTTTTTACGCAGCGGATGCAACCCATCCAGCCGCAACCCATCTCTGGGAAACATCCACACACACACTCATACACTACGGACAATTTAGCCTACCCAATTCACCTGTGCCGCATGTCTTTTTACTGTGGGGGAAACCAGAGCACCCGGAGGAAACCCACGCGAACGCAAGGAGAACATGCAAACTCCACACAGAAACGCCAACTGAGCCGAGGTTTGAACCAGCGACCTTCTTGCTGTGAGGCAACAGCACTACCTACTCCGCCACTGCCTCGCATAAATTTAAGACATTCAACAATGAACCAAATTTCAGCCAGGAAAATATTAAATATAGCTATTGTCTTTAAGAACTCATTTTTGTGCATAAAAATATTTACAATGTAACACAAAAAAGTTAACGATAAGATTGAGAGCAAAAAATGGAACAGAAATATATCTTTCATAGATAGGTCATTCATTTTCCTTCGGCTTAGTCCCTTTATTAATCAGGAGTCACCACAGCGGAATGAACCACCAACTTATCCAGCACATGCTTTACAAAGCGGATGCTCTTCCAGCTGCAACCCAGTACTCTGAAACACCCATACACCACGGTAAATTTAGTTTACTCAATTCACCTATAAAGGAAATACCAACCTACGTCACACAGGTCCCTGGTTGCAAAAAAATAGCAAACATGTTGTGTTGTAGGATGCCAAATTCGAAATAGAAAAAAAACTTTCAAATAGAAAACTTTTATCGTACACCACATTGCTTAGTATGGTATATATACTGTACTGTACATATACACACACACACACACACAGGGTGGGCAATTTATATGGATACACCTTAATAAAATGGGAAAGGTTAGTGATATCAACGTCCTGTTTGTGGCACTTTATTATATGTGAGGGGGTTTGTAAATAACACATGAAAGAATGAAGCTACATTTAAAACACAACATTTAACATTTAAGCACACAATCATCTTGTGAAATTCCTAATAAGTTTAAGGTGTATCCATACCCACCCTGTATACAAACACATATACATATAAATATACACACACACACACATATATATATATATATATATATATATATATATATACACACACACAGGGTGGGCCATCTAAATAGATACACCTTTATAAAATTGGAAAGGTTGTGTATATATATATATAGAGAGAGAGAGAGAGAGAGAGAGATCTATTTCTCTATATCGATTTCTTTAAATCTATCTATTTAAACAAATCACATTGCACTTTGTAAGACCTGCAATTTGTTTGCAAAGTGTATAACCTAATTAAATACGTCTTAAACAGCTTTGTAGGGAACATAATTCACGCAATACCAACACAAATGAGTTAAAAACCAAATTTATTGAATTTTACAGACCAGAACAACATAAAAGTACAAATTAAACACCACAACACAAGAAAGGGAACATTTAATATTTTATAAAACGTTTATTAAGAGATGAGCTGAATCTGGCGCACGTGTTTCTGGCCCGGACACTCGATCCTTTGTCTGAAAATGAAACACAACGAAGAAAACATTTCAGTAAATAAAACCAAAATAAAACCACTTTCATGCTTTTAACAAAAATATGTTATTAAACTGACCCTCATATAAGAGTAAACTAAATCTTTCCCCTGCTCAGGGTCAGATGGGTAGTGTGTTTAATCATTGGGTCAGATAAAAGAAAATCAATATTTATGCACATAACAACAAAAACAGTCGGTTAAATGTAACGTTAATGTTACTCTCTCTCTACATTTACAAATAAATTCCTAATACATAACGTTACCTTACTCTCGCGACTGCCAGCTCAAGCTTCTCCAGAAACAGACCACGTCCACATGGAGGGAGTGTTTCTTCTGCTTTTGTTTCCTCTGTGTTTTCTTCAGTCACAGTAACACATCACTGCCGCCTAGTGAAGGGAGAAACGAAGCTTTTTGTCCTCAAAGATTCGAATCAGCAGCTTTGCCAAATGATTCAGCGATTCGAAGCGTTCAGAACTCAGACACTAGCGACACCTGCTGTTCAGAACTGCGCAAATGCGAAAAATTAAAATAAAACTATTATTAAAATAAAACTATTATTAAAATAAAATTAAAATAAAACTATTATTTATCGCAAACAAATCTTTATTCATTCATTCATTCATTTCGGCTTAGTCCCTTTATTAATTTGGGGTCGCCACAGTGGAATGAACCTCCAACTTATCCAGCTAATTTAGTTAATACATTAAGAATAACATTCATTCATTTTCTTCTCGGCTTAGTCCCTTTATTTATCTGGGGTCGCCACAGCGGAATGAACCGCCAACTTATCCAGCTTATGTTTTACACAGCGGATGCCCTTCCAGCCGCAACCCATCACTGGAAAACCTCCATACACTCTCATTCACGCACGTACACTACAGACAATTTAACTTACCAAATTCACCTGTAAGTTACTGCATGTCGTTGGACTTAGGGGGAAACCGGAGCACCCGGAGGAAACCCACGCGAACACGGGGAGAACATACAAACTTCACACAGAAATACCAACTGAACCAGCCGAGGCTCGAACCAGTGACCTTTTTGCTGTGAAGCGACAACAATGCCCTCTGTGCCACCGCTTAGCCCATTGTTAATAGTGAAAAGGTTGGGCTTTTAATTTGAAAACAGGTGCTTTTTCCGGAAGTGTTCCGCGTCAGCTGACCGGTTGTGTTCCGGTTCTGCGCGGTGTCCGTCAGCTGACAGATGTTTGGCTCCTCGGTTCGGTTCGTGCGGCAGTGAAATAAAAACAGCTGCGCGATCAGAGCAGTGCAGCGCCATGAGCAACGGCGGTACCCCGCGATCACTGCCCTCCTCCGGGCAGAAGTCCATCCAGGAGATCTGCCACCCTCTGTCCGCCGAGGAGAGCGCACGGAGCCGCAGCCCAGATGTGCTGAACCCCGGAGAGAAGGTGAGCAGCGCGGCGCGGTCTCCCAAACACCCTCGCGGCTCTGTGTGGGACTCCGGGCAACTCGAGTGGGTTTGGACAAGCTGCTCCGTTAAACAGCAACAGTATAGATGTGCGGTGGCGACAGCGGGTCATGTTGTGTCCGTTAAGTTAACTGTATTGTGTCGAGAAAAGTAACTGTAGGCGTGTTGATACAGTCACTAAGAGAAAACAGCGGAGTTTCATTCATTTGCACCATATGGATATTATGCGTGTCGTCAATTATAACATACTAATGTCTATAGAGGTAACGGTGGTTTTATATTCGGATATTCAGACATTCCCCTAATAATATAATTTCAGAAAAGTGTATTTTGCAAATTATAAATAGGGAAATTATATTAGCAGCATTTCCCAGAGATGGGTTGCGGCTGCAAGGGTATCCGCTGCGTAAAAACTTGCTGGATAAGTTGGCGGTTCATTCCGCTGTGGCGTCCCCGGATTAATAAAGGGACCAAGCCGACAAGAAAATGAATGAATATTAGCAGCAAATGACTAGCGAAGTACAACATTGTTCACAGTGAATTAGATAGTGTTAATGTTGTTTAGAAGTCAAACTTGCATGCTAATTCCGATCGAATATTCAAAGTAACATGCCAAACAATATAGAAACTTCTAAATTAACGAATGTGCGAATATAAAACAAACTTTACCTCTACTTGTTTGTTTCTTACCCTAAATAACGGTGTTTTCATCAAACTTTACAATTACCAATTTTGACCAGATTCATCATAATTGTAACACCATTAATTTCATTTGAGATTATTTTGAGTTTATGTCAAACAATTTGACATTTCTTGTAATTCATACACAACATTTCACAATTTGATTGAGGTAAAGTTGGCTTTATATTCGCACATTCGTTCATTTTGTTGTCTCTATATTGTCTACCACACTAATTTCAATATTCAATCAGAATTAGCATGCGAGGATGACTTCAAAACAACATCAACACTATCTGATTGACTGTAAACAATGCTGTACTTTGCTAGTCATTGGCTGCTAATATGATTTCCCAATTTAGAATTTGCAAAGAATACTTTTCTAATATTATATTATTAAGCAGAAAGTCTAAATATCCCAATATGAAGCCAACTTTACCTCTTCTTCACAACTGACTGATTTCGGAAAAAAACAATAGTTTGATATATGATTTCTAAACTATGATATGATTGAGGTAAAGTTGGTTTCATATTCGCACATTCGTTCATTTAGAAGTCTCTATATTGTCTTCCACGCTAATTTGAATATTCAATCAGAATTAGCATGCGAGGATGACTTCAAAACAACATCAACACTATCTGATTGACTGTAAACAATGCTGTACTTTGCTAGTCATTGGCTGCTAATTATGCAAATTTTTACGGACCTTGCCTTTTTCCCTCCTCCGACACTCCCCCCTAAATAGAGCTGGACACGCCCACTTTTTTCCAAAGTAGAGGTGTGAAAACACCCTGCTGAAACAAGGGGGTTTCATGGCCCGTTAAGATCTGCAGAAACTTGCAGTTCACAAAGATAAAAAAATATATTTGATATCTATTATCTATCAGTTATTAATTGTTATTGCTCATATTTCATATGTTTATTTATCAACTGCATATAATACTCGGAGAACACTGGCAGGCTGTATATCATGTGTGAATTCTTGCTGTACAATAGAGCTGGGTTGAGCTTGGTACAGAATCCCTGATGCTGTTCAAGTCAATAGTTTATTGTGCTTCACATAACACAGAAGAGCCGTTCTTGAGCTACTGCTCGTTATAGCACTGATTTATTTGTTTGTTTGTTGTTGTCAGCTGCACTGTGGCTTATTTATTGGATATTATAACAGAATATAGTTTTGTTGTCTAATTCAAAAGATGAGTGTATTTTAGATTTTTTTTCTTCTGTTTTGCTTTATTATGGACTCGGGCCATTTTGGTGTCTGCATCAAGTTCAATTTCATAAAGCGAAGTACTTGTCTATTTTATTGTTTCAAATAATTTATGTGAAATAAGAAATGTTTCAAAGTTGTCATTGTTTAGGGTAACGGTCCGGACTTTGATTTTGCCATCTCCAGACAAAGCAAGAGTTTTTATTAGAAAGGAGGAAATCTACTGCAAGCTCAGATGATTTCTTCACTCAAAGGATGACGAAAGTCTTCTTCAGCAGAAAAAGCAGTTCTTAAGGAGAAATCTTGAGAGGATAATAAATGAGCTGTAAGTTTCCCACTGACGTATGCAACACAGGCTCGTTGGAAATGCGTGAATAAGCCTACATTTTTGTGAACCTGCAAAAAAAAAAAAGCACTTCAACTCTCGTTTCGCTGCAGTTTCTAGGTAAAATAATGCCAGCAACTTTAGTTTCTTTTAACACTAATGATATTTTACTAATGATGACAGTGTTAACAACTATTTTCAATGAGAACTTTGCTCAAAAAGTCGCTAAATGAAGCTGGATTACGTCACTTTGCATATTACTGACGTCATCATGTCCAGCAGTTTCTGTTTGTTTAACAGCCTATGGTTTAAAAAGGGGTATTCATATTTGCACTGCGGTTTACATATGCATGTCAATTTAGGGTGCTTTCACACCTGTGAATCGATTCAGTTGTTCTGAAACAGAGATTACAATTGTTACATTGTTGCTCTTTGCTCTTGGAGCGGTTCGCTTTCACACTGCAAAGTTTCTAATCGGACCAAAAGAGCTAAAACAAGTCACGTGCGAGTAAACTCTCCTCACATTGGTCAGAGTGTCAGGGTTTATTTTGCAGCGTCCCGCTCAGCTGTCAGGAGAGGTGTTGGTTTGGTGGTGATTGACAGGGTGCGCGCGCGCGACGTGCCTGAGGAGAGACGCGGTGGGGAGGGGTGTGAAGGGTGTGCGACGTAGCCTATTTGAGGACCGGGAGGGAGACGCGAGATTACCGGCAGATCATCACTCGTTTGCGGGCATCCAGAGACTCGCGAAACTTCCCGCCCTACTCATAATTCTCTCTTTATATAGCCGTATGCCTATTACATATCCATAAAACACTGTGATATAACCGCGCTCGGATCGGATCGCTTTCTCACTGTAATCGATCCGCTCCAGGGTTCGTTTCAATCGAGCCGAGACCACCTCATTCAAGCGACCTCGGAGCGATTACTTTGGCGCGGAACAGAGCGCGATTGCCCTGTTCACATATGCCAAACGAACCGCGCTAACTGGGCAAACGAGATACGTTCCGAAACAAAAGTGTAGGTGTGAAAGCACCCTTAATTTATTGTTGTTTGAATACAGTGTATCAGAATAGATGTGTAGTAAACTTGCAGTAATCTCTCAGACATAATAAACTCACAGAAGTTCAGAAACTGTCACTAAAATCACTGTAAATATGTACAAGAAAAGAATCAACGTCAAATTAAATTGTTAAATTTTATAGAAAGGAGAAGCAGATCGGCTAGACTGTACGAGGGAAATACCTTGCGCTCGCAGTGCTAAATCATAGAAAAGAAATAAAGGTAAATTCAACTCAGAGTTTATTACTGTGGTAACTTACTCTGTGAAACTTACCAGGGGTGCGTTTCCCAAAACCATCGTTAGCCAACTACGGTTGCAAGTTCAGTCGTTACAAACATAGTTTGTTGATTTGCCGTTTCCCAAATCCGCCGCTTCAACAAACATTCGCAAACCGCATCGCAAACTTGAGCACTCGCAACTACACCTCTGGAGCTGTAGATTGAAACATAGTTCCTGGCTGTGTTCTATTTCCACTTATCCCCCCTATGCCCTATACATTTAGAACCTTCTGTTGTGGATTTCTCCAGTGTGGCTCACGGCACCAAACTGTTGTGGAATTCTAAGACGAGCCCAAAAAACCAGGGAGAGCTTTCGGTATCTTCAAAGCAGAATCCTTTTAATAAGAAGAACTCAGCGTGGCTGTGGCGTCATCGAAAGAAACTCTCAATTGGTACAACAGACACTCAGTTTTCAAGTGTTTGATATGGGTTGCAACTGAAATCTGCAGGAAGGTGGCTCTCCAGGAACAGGGTTGGCCACCCCTGGCCTAAATCCTCCAGATTACCAGCAGGGCTAATGGTTGAAATAGGCAGGACAAGAGACCTGCTGCACCGAGTTTGCATTCAGACTCGGGGATTGAGGGAGAAGTCCTCATTTATAGTGTTTATATGAACACGATTATCTTTATAATGATATAAATTGTGGTTGTGTGTATGAAATTACGAATAACAAATGTAGCAGGGCATTAAATTACTGTTTATTTCTTTGCATTTGAACTTTGTACACTATAAAATCATGCGTCTTCTCACTGTTTGTGTCTCATTCTGTGAGCCGACTGACAACAGTTGTTCTCTTCCCTGCTCTGCTGGCTACGCCCACTCCTGCCTCTGATTGCGGAGCTCCACGCCCATTATGATGCATTTTAAAAAAAATTCTGAGGTAGACTTGAACCGAAAGTGGGGGGTGTCATGACCCTTTAAAATTCTGTTGCTAATTACTCGCCCTCATGTCGATCTAAACCCCTGAGACCTTCATTCACTATCAGAACACAAATGAAGCTATTTTATGCAAAACAATAGCAGTGTTTTGTTTGATTAAATGAGTCTCTTTTTTTTTTTCGCCACTCCCAGGACCTGAGTCTGCCCAATGGGACTCCAGTAGACACATCAAGCCCCGCCTCCTCTTCATCGCTACTAAACCGACTGCAGCTCGACGACGATTTGGACGCAGAAACGCGCGACCTGTTTGTGACTGTAGATGATCCTAAAAAGCACGTGTCTACAATGGAGACGTACATCACCTACAGAGTCTGCACAAAGGTCAGAGACTTATAACGCTTATAACCTGGCTGATTTGACCTGTCATGTTCGATTTATTTTCATGTTAATGTATAAAAATAATTTATTTTAGATGTATTATTGTACAATATGCAAATATTTCGATGATTTCTATAGAATAACATTTGTAAAGTAATATTTTCTAACTATTTTAGTGGATGTATTATATGTATACACTTTATTAGGTACACCTTAATAGTACCAGGTTGGACGGACCCTCTTTTGCTTTCAGAACTGCCTTAATCCTTTGTTCTAGTCCGTCAGTGTTCTCAATTTTAGTAGCTCGCATTTTATTCTCAGTAACAGCAACAGCGTTCTAACGGAGAAAACAGTAATTATTTTTGATTACTCGTTACTGAAAAAGTAACACCGTTAGTAACGTCGTGTATTTATAGCGCCATTATTCCCATTACTGATTGTCAGTAACAGTCGCAGCGTTTTAACGGAGAAAACAGTAGTTAATTTGATTACTCGTTATTGAAAAAAGTAACGCTGTTAATTTTTAGCGCTGTTATTCCCATCACTAATTGTCAGGAACGATAGCGGCATTCTAACGTTGAAAATAGTTGTTAATTTGATTACTCGTTACTGAAAAAAGTAACTCTGCCGCTATTAACTCGGTTTATTAATAGCGTCGTTATTCCCATCACTGATTGTCAGTCACGGTAGTGGCGTTGTAACTGGGGAAACGGTAATTAATTTGATTACTCGTTACTGAAAAAAGTAACGCTGTTAGTTACGATGTTTATTTATAGCGCCATTTTTCTCATCACTGATTGTCAGTTACTGTAGCGGCGCTTTAACAGGAGAAACAGTAATTTATTTGATTACTCGTTACTAAAAATAATATTGCCCGTAGTAATGCCGTTGATTTATAGCGTCGTTATTCCCATCACTGATTGTCAGGGACGATAACGGCATTCTAACATAGAAAACCGTAGTTAATTTGATTACTCATTATTAAAAAAAGTTATGCCGCTAGTATTGCCGTTTATTTATAGCATCATTATTGTCATCACTAATTGTCAGTTACGGTAGTGGCGTTGTAAACGGGGAAACACTAATTAATGTGATTATTTGTTACTGAAAAAAGTATGCCGTTAGTTACGCTGTTTATTTACAGCGTCATTATTCTCATCACTGATTGTCAGTTACGGTAATGGCGTTGTAACCGGGGAAACAGTAATTAATGTGATTATTTGTTACTGAAAAAAGTAACGCCGTTAGTTACGCTGTTTATTTATAGCGTCATTATTCCCATCACTCATTGTCAGTAACTGTAGCACCGTTGTAACGGGGAAACGGTAACTAATTTGATTGCTCATTACTGAAAAAAAGTATTGCCGTTAGTAACTCTGTTTATTTATTGCGCCGTTATTCCCACCACTGATTGTCAGTAACGATAGTGGCGTTGTAACCGGGGAAACAGTGATTCATTTGATTACTTGTTACTGAAAAAAGTATCGCTGTTAACAACGTTATTTATTTATTGCCCCGTTATTCCCATCACTGATTGTCAGTAACTGTAGTAGCGTTGTAACGGGAAAACAGTAATTCATTTGATTACTCGTTACTAAAAAATGTATTGCTGTTAGTAACGCCGTTTATTTATAGTGCGGTTATTCCCATCGCTAAATGTCTGTAATTGTAGCAGTGTATTAACGGGGGAAACAGTAGTTACTTTGATTACTCTTTACTGAAAAAAGTATCGCAATTAGTAACGCCATTTATTTATAATGCCGTTATTCCCATCACTGAAAATAAGAAATGTAGAAAATGTAGTAGTCCTTTTTATTTATTGACAATAAGAAAGCGTTTTAAATAGATGTTTTTTGTGTGTGTGTGTGTGTGTGTGTGTGTGTGTGTGTGTGTGTGTGTGTGTGTGTGTGTGTGTGTGTGTGTGTGTGTGTGTGTGTGTGTGTGTTTGTTTGTGTGTGTTTGTGTGTGTGTATGTGTGTGTGTATATACATATATATATATATATATATATATATATATATACATATATATATATATATATATATATATATATATATATATATATATATGTGTATATATAAATATATATATGTGTATATATGTACATTTATATATATATGTACATTTATATATGTACATATAAATGTGTATGTATCTTTACATTTAATTTAAATGCAAAAGTTTTTAGCAATATCACTCTAGTTTTCAGTGTCATTGTCTATGATCTTTTGCTGCTCAAATCACATTTCTTATTAACAATATTAGAAACTTTTTTGCTAAATCTAAAGCATTTATTTGAAATCTTCTTTAGCGTTATGAATGTTTCACTGTCACTTCATCGTAATTTAAGTCATCCTTGCTGACCAATTATATGTTATTTACTCATTATTGTTTTTCTTCTGTATGACCTACAGACCACCAGAACAGAATTTGACCTGCCGGAGTACTCGGTAAGGCGACGCTACCAGGACTTTGATTGGCTGAGGATAAAATTAGAGGACAGTCAACCAACACACCTTATTCCAGTAGGTAGAGGAAGACCCTCCACAGCACAGCTCTCGAAACCACAGCTCTAATCACAGATGTTACTCCTATAAACACATCGCATTACACCTACTGTAATACACAAAAGAATGCTCATTTGACCCCTTTAATAATGTAAAATCTGCTATTTCATGGCCGCTCGGTTGACATTGTTTACATTTATTTGTTTTTTCCGAAATAATTCAGCCTTTACCTGAGAAGTTTGTAATGAAGGGAGTGGTGGACCGGTTTTCAGAGGAGTTTGTGGAGACGAGGAGAAAAGCGCTAGACAAGTTCCTCAAACGTGTAGCAGATCATCCGGTGCTCTCCTTCAACGAACACTTCAACGCTTTTCTCTCAGCAAAGGTGAGTGCCTCAAATTAGCATGCAATTTCAATTCTCTTTATTTCGTAAATGTAATAATTTACAAAATAATAAATTACTATTACAAAGCATTTTCAGCCAAGTGCATTTAGAATTTTTGGTTTGAGTCCAGAATTTTTATTTCAGTGTATCCCTGCTAATATTTACTTATCCATGACAGGAAATAGAGCAGTTTATTACAGTTTCTAACAGCAAAAGGAAAACTCTTTCAATTATTTCAATAGGTTTCTGATTAGATCCAGATGTTTCAGAGAGTTACTCAACACTGTTTAGCAATATGATTTTGAAATGTGTCGTTGGTATGTATTTCTGGGCAGAAAGTGTGTTTCGGGAAATTGGGATTTCATTGAGTTTGGCAGTGTTTTCCTGGCCGTGAGACGGGACTGATGTACTGCATGTTTTGACTCCTCAGGACCTGAATAAGCGTCAGGGTCTTGCTCTGCTGACTAAAATGGGGGAATCTGTGAAGTACGTGACGGGTGGTTATAAACTGAGAGGACGGCCGGTGGAGTTTGCTGCTATGGGGGAATATCTGGACATGTTCACACAGAAACTGGGCACCATTGACAGGATAGCACAAAGAATCATTAAAGAACAGACAGGTAAACACTGTCACTGTTATTATGTGTATCTGTATGGGTCAAACACACACACATATATATATATATATATATATATATATATATATATATATATATATATATATATATATATATATGTATATATATATATATATGTATATGAAAACAATGAAAAGTTTAATATAGTTGTAATTTTTCCTCTACCGTGTCCCATTGTTTTATAAGCAAAGATTTATTATTATTATTATATATATAAAAAAATCATAAAAGACACAAAGCGAAATATGATTCAATGTAGTGTGTGTGTGTGTGTGTGTGTGTGTGTGTGTGTGTATATTAGGGCTGTCAAATGATTAATGATTTTTGTAATTAATCACGGTTAATCACGAAACGTAATTAATCATGGTTAATCATATAATCAATATATCAAATAATCTAGCCAGGCATGTTTAGATCAGTGATTAATGTATTCTTTTTAATAAATTGTAATTAATTAAACAAAATAATTCTATACTAATAAGTATTTATGTTCTACAATAATAACTATAAATGCATAATTTATATATAAATACTTAAAAATAGTTGTGTGTTTGGCTATATATGTTTTGTGAAACACTGTTTTATATATTTTTGAATAATGTATTTTAGCTTTCATTTATTTATTTATTTATTGTTATTTTTCTTCAGGATTTCACACCAGTTTTTTAATACACACACACACACACACACACACACACACACACACACACACACACACACACACACACACACACATATATATATATATATATATATATATATATATATATATATATACATAATGATGATATATACCCATTTCTAATAAATGATTTATTTTATCTTTGCCATGATGATGATTTTGAATATTGAACTATTGAAAAAATATATAGCTTAAAGGGGCTAATAATTTTGACCTTAAAATGGTTTTAAAAATATAAAAAACTGCTTTTATTCCAGCCAAAATAAAACAAATAAGACTTCTCAAGAAGAAAAAATAATTATGAGATATACTGTAAAAAATTCCTTGCTCTGTTAATCATCATTTGGGAAATATTTAAAAAAGAAAACAAAATTAAAAGGGGGGCTAATAATTCTGACTTTAACTGTATGTATGTATGTATGTATGTATGTATGTATGTATGTATGTATGTATGTATGTATGTATGTATGTATGCATATATATATATATATATATATATATATATATATATATATATATATATATATATATATATATATATATATATATATATATATATTAGTGCTGTCAAATGATTAAAAAAATGTATGTGATTAATCACACTTTTTTGTAATTAATCGTGGTTTATCACGAAATGTAATTTATCATGGTTAATCGTGATTAATTACGAAATGCCGTATTTATTACAAAAGAAAAAAACACAGGCATGTAAGTGGCATTAAATTTCAAAACAATACATGCCAATAACAAACAAAAATGCTTTCCATGTTGGATTCTAAGAGCAATACAAACACACACACACACACACACACACACAGACAACACGTTATGTGTAATAACATGAAATGGCACCGGGGGAAAAGAATTGAACACATGAAGAAATGGAGGTTTTGAAAGGCAGTGAAAGCCCAGACAGCAGCTGAAATCTCTCAGTAGTTCTCCAGCAATCCTCTGCCCTTCTTTATTGTAAATTAATATTTGCTGCTTCAGTCCAACATTTACAGTAGCAGGAAGATGAAGATGAAGCCAGGGGGGACATTTTAGCATGATAATGGTCCAAAACACAGCTAAGGCAACTCTCAAATGCTTTCAGAGAAAGTAAATGAAGATGTAAAATGGCCCAGCCAATCATCTGTCTTGAATCTAATAGAAAATACAAGATAAAGATCAGATTTGACAGACGAGACCCACAGAACAATCTAGACTCTCTGTTGAAGTCTCTGTTGAAAAAAATCACACCTGTGCAATGCATGT